GATGGATGGATAGATAGATAGATAGATAGATAGATAGATAGATAGATAGATAGATAGATGATATGAAGACGAATTGGAGAACTCCCAGCATGGCCTTCTCCAAATCGAGGAAGAGACAATCGTTGGACCAGCTGAGGCCAAGGGTCAGTCCCGGAACCAGCGAAATCCGGGGGCTGGACAGGGGACAGACTGTATCTGTCCTCAATGTGGAAGGGATTTGCCCCTCTCGAATTAGCCTTTTTAGCCACACTAGATGCTCTTTTAGGACCTCTTTTCAGAGCACGATACCATCGGCTCTTGAGTGAAGGATGCCAATTTTAAAAAAAGGATGATATGATGATAGATATAGAGATATGGGTATATACATAATGGATAGATAATAGAGATAGATTTTCAGACAGATATAGAAAGATACATTATGTAGAATAAGTAGATAGATATATTATAGATGGAAGGATAGACAGATTGATAATAGTTGATAGGATATGATAGAAGTTGATATGATAATCTTATATTACATATATTAACCGCAGCAAGAATTTCATATGCTCAGCACTGGAAGAAAAACGCCACACCACCTGAAAGCTTAATAACAAAAAATATTTTAGAGTGTGTGGAAATGAATAAATGAACTATGGAATTAAAAGGGAAAGCAGACACAAAATACAATGCAGTATGGGAAACATGGTTTATTTGGATCGATAACAGATATAAGAATAGAAGATGTAAATAATGTATATAATAAGAGATTATGAAAGTATTGTGTATTGTAAGTTATGATAGGACACATAAATGTATATATAATGTCACAGCACTGTTTAATAACTATTAGTATTATGTATAAATGGAAAAAAAGCTCAATAAAGCATTAAATAAAAAAGTTGATATGATAAGATACATAGACAAATTGATAGTTGACAGGATAAGATAAATATATAGATAAACAGATAGATAATGGATTAGATGATGATATGATAGATACAGAAATATGGATATATACATAATGGATAGATGAGATAGATAGATAGATAGATAGATAGATAGATAGATAGATAGATAGATAGATAGATAGATAGATAGATAGATAGATAGATTATGTAGAATAGGTTGGTAGATATAGATGGATGGATGGATAGACAGACAGACAGATTGATAATAGTTGATATGATAAGATAGATAGATTGATAGTTAATAGGATAAGATAATGGATTGATAAATAATGGATTGATAGATGGATAGATGATATGATAGATATAGAGAGGGATATATACATAATTGATAGATGAAAGATAGAGATACATTATGTAAAATAGGTAGATAGGTAGATATAGATGGCTGGATAGGCAAACAGATTGATAATAGTTGATAGGTATATACACACACACACACACACACACACACACACACACACACACAGAGAGAGAGAGAGAGAGACAGAGACAGAGACAGAGACAGAGACAGACAAGACAGACAGTCTTTGTTATTGAAATTAGCTTGGAAACTGGTAGTGACTTACAACCATAATTAAGCCTGTAATTAAGCTCACATTTATGACAGCCGCAGTGTCCCGGGGTCATGACAAGCCAAGTCAATGGACCAGATCTCAGATTCGCTTCACAACCCTGTTACTCCCTTCACAACTGTGATTAGCTTTAACGACGGTGGCAAGGGAGGTTGTAAAACAGGCCAACGCTCCCTTAACGACTGTCTCCCTTGACAATGGAGATTGGTGGGCTCAACTGCGGTCATCCGCCAAGGACTGCTGCGGTCGTGCAATTGGGGGGGGGGGGGGGGCGTCGGCTACGGCATCGTGGCTTTGTTGTGGATTCTAAGATTTCTCCCCCGTCTTTTGCAGCTGCTTTTGCGTTGACTGTTTGAACACCTTGGTGGGACGGGGGACGGCAGAAGCTGCCCGGAAGGAAGAGCCGTGGAACTGCTACATGTGCCGGCCGCAACAGCGTTACGGCGTCCTGCTCCGACGACGGGATTGGAATACGCGCCTGAAGGAGTTTTTCACCAACGAGGAAGGGCAGGAATACGTAAGGAAGGGAAGGGAGAGAGAGTGGAGTAGAGTAGAGTAGAGTAGAGTAGAACAACAACAGAACAGAACAGAACAACAGAGTTGGAAGGGACCTTGGAGGTCTTCTAGTCCAGCCCCCCCCTGCTCATGCTGGAGACCCTATACCACTTCAGACAAATGGTTATCCAATCTCTTCTTAAAAACTTCCACTCTTGGCGCATTTACGAGGGCTATCCACAAAATAGATGACGTTTTCGTCTGTAGCAAGAAGGGGCGGAGCTAGCGCGGCCATCTTTGGTCTGTGCGTCCGCCGCTCAGTCTGCATCTAGTCGTGCTAGTGGGAGGTTCGTATCGTTGCCCGTTATTTCACAGCAAACGTTTGAAATGTGTGCTGCAATTGAAAATCCCGCGATTTGTGAGGTGCGATCAGTGATAAGGTTTTTGTTGGCAAAAAACCATAAACCGATTGAAATTTTAATTGAAAAATTGAAAAACTAAGAAAAGCAATTCAGAACAAAATTTTGTTTTTGCATGACAATGCCCGACCACACACAGCAAATCGCACTCAAGAAGTCCTGAATGGTTTCAAGTGGGAGATTTTTCCTCATCCGCCCTACAGCCCCGATCTTGCACCAAGCGACTACCACTTGTTTCTGAGGATGAAGACCTGGCTTGGAACAAAATTTTTGAGCTTAACTTTCCTCTTTGCTTTTCTTAGTTTTTCAATTTTTCAATTAAAATTTCAATCGGATTATGGTTTTTTTGCCAACAAAAACCTCATCACTGATCGCACCTCACAACTCGCGGGATTTTCAATTGCAGCACACATTTCAAACGTTTGCTGTGAAATAACGGGCAACGATACGAACCTCCCACTAGCACGACTAGATGCAGACTGAGCGGCGGACACACAGACCAAAAATGGCCGCTCTAGCTCCGCCCCTTCTTGCTACAGACAAAAACGTAATCTATTTTGTGGATAGCCCTCGTACAACACAGAAGCTGGCTTGTGGTTAAGTGGAAAAGGGTAAACCTAGATAAGATAGGAAAATGTGCTACTTGCTTAACACTCGCAGCGATTCTCTTAACGACCGTGTCAAGATAGGCCATAAAATGGGGCCGGGCATACAACTACCTTGGTTAGCAACGTAAATTTTGCGCACAGTTGGGATTGTACAAGTTTTACAACCTGTAGTTGTTGTTTTTTGCTCTGTGCTTAACAACCGCCAGCAGGGAGACAGCCGGGATTGTGGTTGTTTGACAAGGCAGCCCGCAGGCGTCTTGCTTAATGACCGCAATGCCTTAACGATCTAAATGCCAGGCTTGGGGTGGGATTTAAAAAGCCCAGTTGCTGGGTTGGTATGGCCATGGTGGGCGTGGCCTACCAGAACTTCCTGTTTCCGGCTTGCTTTCGATGGGCCTTCAGAGGCTTGCCTTTGGAAGGGCAAAAACAGCCTCCCCTGGGCTCTGGAGGCCCACCGGAAGCCAGAAACAGGCCCGTTTCCGGACTTCCGGAAGGCCCATTTCCTCCCCACCCCCCCAGAGCCTCCGCGCAGGGACAGGGTGGGCGGGGCCAGCCGCTCAGTTGAAATACCGGTTCGTAGAACCGGATGTAACTTTAACATCTGGTTGGCTCAAACCAGTCCGAACTGGTAGAATCCCATCCCTGGCTAAGGACAATGTATATCAGTGATGGCAAACCTTTTTTTTTTTTTTTTGGGTAAACAATTTTATTGGTTTTTAAAGACAAGCAAAACAAACAAAACATAAAAACATCCAGCTTTCTTTCATAAATGTACAAGCAGTGTGTCAGTTGGTTTACCAATTTTTTGTGCATCCATTTCGTAGTCTCAATTACAGTTACATCACATAATAACTCATATTATCAATCAAAGATTAAATACCCTAGTATCACTATTAAACAATCATTTGACTATAATTTTATTCATTCATACTTTGCGAGATAACTATAATTTACTTAGTTTATTTTATAACAATTCATATAATCCTACCCGATCTATCCTAAAAACATTTTATAGATATGATATCGAAAAATAAAATATATCTTTATATACACGTTATTTTCTAAAATTCTAGATATTCTATTATTGTGTAAAATTATCTAACCATTGATAGAAAAGGTCCCAAATTTTATAAAATTGTTTATCCTCTTGCTCTCTAATTTCAAATGTCAATCTACTCATTTCAGCACATTCCAATATTTTCAGTGATGGCAAACCTTTTTGTTGTGCGGTGAAAGCGCGCGCATGCTGGCACCCACAATGCAATGTGCCCCGTCCCCCTGCGCATGCATGCACAACACCCCCACCTTGCCTGCACTGCGTATCCGCATGTCTCCCAGCTGATTTTTGACCCACCTGAGGCGCGAGGGAAGCCTCGGCAGCCTCAGGAGGCCAAAAAAACGGGCCTTCCGGAAATACCAAAGGGCCCGTTTTCAGCCTCCAGAGGGCCTGTGGAGCCTGGGGGATGCTGTTTTCCCCCCTCCTGGAAGCTCGAGGGAAGCCTCTGCAGCCTCGGGAGGCCGAAAAATGGGCCCGTTTCATCACTTCTGGTATTTCCAGAAGGCCCGTTTTTCGGCCTCCCGAGGCTGCAGAGGCTTCCCTTGCGCCTCAGGAGGGGGAAAACCGCCTCAAACGGGCTGAAAAATCAGGTGGGAGGCACACTCATGCGCAGGGCAGCTAAGTTTGGTTGGGCCTCACGTGCCCGCGCAAATGGCTCTGACTTCCACCTGTGGCCCGCGAGCCATAGGTTGGCCATCACGGACCTATATTATACGTTTCCCCCCTGAATCGGAGTAGTGTCAGCGAAATGGATAATTGTCCAGGTTTACCTGAGGGTCAGAAGGTTACGGTGGTAACAAACTGACACAGTTGCTGGTGCAGGTTTGTGTGTGTGTGTGTGTGTGTGTGTGTGTGTGTGTCAGTCACACATGCTCTTTTTTTTGCCTCACCCCATCACAGAAGGCACCCAAAATCTACCCTGCCATCCCAGCCACAAAACGGAAGGCCATCCGAGTGTTGTCTCTCTTCGACGGCATCGCTACAGGTGAGTCCTTGCTCGGATCTCACATACCCACGCCCAGGTAGGTTGGGAGGTCATGAAGAAGAGGGGTCAGGTTAGCGTTCTCCAGACGGGGAATTCCATTCCTTCAGTCCTCAACGGCGAGGACAATTACACCGGTGGAATGGCTTGCCACCAGAAGTTGTGGGTTGCCCCATCGCTGGAGCTTTTTTAGGAAAAGATTGGACGATGAAATGGTCTAGGGCCGTGATGGTGAACCTGTGGCACGTGTACCACAGGTGGCACGGAGAGGCATTTGTGCCAGCATGTGAGCTGCAGGCAGACTTACCTCACTGCACATGCGCGCACTTCACAGCTGACTTTTGGCCAATTTGAAGCCTTTTTTGGCCTCCTAGGGAAGCCAGGCCAGTTTCATCACTTCCTGTATTTCCGGAAATACAGGAAATGATGAAAACGGGCACATTTTTCAGCCTCCAAAGACTCCAGAGGCTTCCCTCAAGCCTCTGGGAAGCCGAAAAAGGCTTCAAGCGGCCCAAAAATCAGCTGGGAGGCACGCAGTGCAGGTAAGGGGGTGGCGCGGGGAGGGGGGAGAGCATGCACACATGCGGAGAGGGCATGGGGGGGGCCTGCGCGCATTGGCTTCTGGGTGCTGGCACGCGCACATGCAATTTTCGGCACAGGAGCCCAAAAAGGTCAGCCACCACTGGTCTAGGGTCTCCTGCTTGAGCAGGGGGGTGGACTACATGACCTCCGAGGCCTCTTCCAGCTCTATTCTGATTGATGGATTGAGCGGTGGATTGAGCGGGGGGCTGGACTACATGACCTCCGAGGCCCCTTCCAGCTCTATTCTGATTGATGGATTGAGCAGGGGGCTGGGCTACATAACCTCCGGGGCCCCTTTCAGCTCTATACTGATTGATTGAGTGGGGGGCTGGACTACATGACCTCCGGGGCCCCTTTCAGCACTATACTGATTGATTGAGTGGGGAGCTGGACTACATGACCTCCTAGGCCCCTTTCAGCTCTTTACTGATTGATTGATTGAGTGGGGGGCTGGACTACATGACCTCCAAGGCCCTTTCCAGCTTTATACTGATTGATTGAGTCGGGGGCTGGACTACATGACCTCCAAGGCCCCTTCCAGCTCTATTCTGATTGATTGATTGAGCGGGGCACTGGACTACATGATCTCCGAGGCCCCTTCCAGCTCTATCCTTCTTTAAAGCTAGTCTATATATATCACTAGCTGGATACTTGTCCTTCGCTACGGAACTATGTGGTGGGGTGTAGTTTTTTGGGGGGAGGAAAATTAAGGGGGCAAAAATTCTGCCTCTGCCTACCAGCGTCCATCGGTATTCATCTGGCTAGTGTCCTGTCAGTGGGTGAGAGAGTTGAGGGCTGTTTGGAAACTGAAACAGTATTTGCTGTGTGAGCAAGGAAGGGACAGCAAGGAGCCTGGGCGTGGCTTAGCTCAACTGTTCTGTACTAAAGCTGCTTGCTGCTGTGAAAGTGAAAGTGAAACTCATCTCCTCTGCTTGTGTTTTGCCTTTGGAAGAAATTTCTTTTCAGGTGGGGGAGGGGAGTAGAACTCCTTAGCATCAGAGCGTGTTAATAATAATAATAATAATAATAATAATAATAATAATAATAATATAGCAAATACTGATGATGGTCTTTTCGAAAAATCCTTTCTTAGTGAGCCCCTAGAAGCCAAGAGGAACCTATGTGCCAAATTTCAAGTTTGTAGGCTTGACGGTTCTGGAGATTTTGTGATGATGCGTGAGGGGTATTTCACTTTTTATATATATAGATTTCTTCTCCCTTCTTTTATCAACCACCTTGTTTCCTTCCTGTAACTCACTACATTCGGTTGATAGTCATTTCATCTGGCGTGTACAAGTAGTCCTCAACTTCACTTAGTAACAGTTTGAAGTTACAACGGCACTGAAAAAAAGATTAAGCCAGGACTGTTTCACACTTACGACCACTGCAGCATTCCCTGGGAGTCTCGGGATCAAAATTCAGCTCTGGGCCACTGACTCGTATTTATGACGGTATCCCAGGGTTACGTGAAATCCCCTTTGGTGACCACCTGATGAGTAAGGTCAACAGGGAAGCCAGATTCACTTAACAACTGCAGTGATTCCTTTAACAACAGGGGCAAGGAAAGTCGTAAAACAGGACAAAAAATGTCACTTAGCAGCTGTCTCGTTAGCAGTGGAAATTTTGGGCTCGATTGTCGTAAGTTCAAGGACTACCTGTATATCTCCTTCTATCTACAGGTAGCCCTCGACTTACAACGGTTCATTTAGTGACTGTTCAAAAGTTACAACGGCCCTGAAAAAAAGGGACTTAGGATCATTTTTCACACTTAATGACCATTGCAGCATCCCCTGTGGTCGCAGGTTGAAAAATTCAGGCGCTTGGCAACCGACTCGTATTTTATGATGGTCGCAGAGTCCTGGGAGATCTCGTGATCCCCTTTTTGTGACCTTCTGACCAGCTGTTCTGACCCAAACCCTTGTCGAATAAAACCAACACGAACCAAAGGGAACGGAAACCTTTCAATGAGTCTTATGAATCCCCGGTTAAAAGGCTGCTGCAAACTAATTAACTTTGATAAGCACAAGCCTCGCCAAAACTGTGCTAGTCTGCCAAGAAAAACAGATAAGAAATAGTTCACAACACAAAAGAGCCTTCAAATACCAACTTAAGATTCTGTAATGTCCACGAGGCTGAGTTTCAAAACGTCTGTGCTTCCTGCAAAGAACCTCCGATTCACAGCTGGCTTTTATCTTCTTGAAGGAGGGGCCATCACCTTGCAGCCTTACTCCCGAGTCGCCCGTGCTGTTGTAACTGCTCTTTCCTGCGAGCAATCCTGCGTGCACGCTTTGCACTGGGCACAGGCTCCTTGGGAACCTCCTCATCGCTGCTGCCAGCCCCCACCATCTCCGAATGCAGCAGTCCACTCCCTAATGGTCCCGGCCCCTCACCTGAGTCCTCGCTCTCCTCAGACGTCCACACCTGCTGCCAGCTAGCCACAACACCGGCAAAGTCAGTGGGGGAATTTGGATTCACTTGACCGTGTGACTTGCTTAATCGCTGTTGTGATTCACGTCGCAACTGAGGCGAGAAAGGATGTAAAACGGGGCAAAATTCACTCAGCAGCCATCTCGCTTAGCGACCTAAATTTTGGGGGCTCCATTGTGATCGTAAACCGAGGACTACCTGCACACTTGCGTACCGGGTGGTGGTGGATATATTTGCGGCGTTTTACCAGCACAAATATTACAGGGTCACCACGAGAAGGTGAGGGTGGCACATCGTTTCTCCCCCCCCCTCCGGCGCAGCACAAGGTGGATTTTCCCCGGTCTGGGTGCTCCTCGGTAAGGCCTCGCCAAGCCCTCCCAAGGGATCCTTTTGTCACCCCAGACTTTTCTGCCTTCCCAGGTTACCTGGTCCTGCGGGATCTTGGCATCAAGGTGGAGAAATATATCGCCTCGGAGATCTGCGAAGACTCGATCTCGGTGGGGACAGTGCGGCATGAAGGAAACATCAGATATGTGCATGACGTTAGGAACATCACCAAGAGACACGTAAGGAATCCGGCGTTCGGGATGACATGTCTCAAGGCAGGACGTTATTGGTGGGCTACTGGTGGAGGGGTCAAAAGAGGCAGCAGCCTAGAATCCCTTCATAGTCACAAACAGAGTAAGAGTCTATGGAGATTCTTAGCCCTCCAGGTCATGGTTGTCCCAAAGGTGCTTTTTATTTTTTTTCAAGAGGCAACTGGACTTTCTGTTGTTTTTTTTCCATGAAGACGTTTCGCTTCTCCTCCAAGAAGCTTCTTCAGCTCGGACTGGATGGTTGGGAAGGGAAGGATTTATGCTCCTTGCAGACAGCTGGTCATTTGCATCCTTTTAGAGGGTCCTTGAGGCCACTTGGAGGTTGGTCTGTGTCCTCGGGGTCACCTGAGAGGTGCAAATGGTTCCTGTAGTCTGCAATTTTTCCCACTGGGAATCTATTCCTACTCCCACCCCATTCCAATGGTGTTCATCCCAAACTGGATAGCTAAAAGTCTGTAGAGATTCTATGTCATCCAAGTCCTGATTGTCCCAAAGGTGCTTTTTTTTTTTTTTTCCCCCCCCAAGAGGCAACTGGACTTTCTGTGTTTTTTTTTTCTTTTGAAGACATTTCACTTCTCATGCAAGAAGCTTCTTCAGCCCATGACTGGACGGTGGGGAAGGGAAGGATTGATACTCCTTGCAGTCAGCTGGTCATTTGCATCCTTTTAGAGGGTCGTTGAGGTCACCTGGAGGTTTTATCTGTGTCCTCGGGGTGATCTGAGTAGTGCAGATGGTTGTGGAGCCTTCCTGGCTGCAGGATGTTTTCATGCCAATGGATGTGGAGAAGTTTCCACACCCATTTGCACCATTCAGGTGACCCTGAGGACACATACATATCTCCACGTGGCCTTAAGGACCCCCTCAAAGGATGCAGATGACCAGTTGCCAGCAAGGAGTATCAATCCTTCCCTTCCCAACCATCCAGTCAGAGCCGAAGAAGCTTCTTGGAGGAGAAGCGAAACGTCTTCAAAAGAAAAAAAACCAGAAAGTCCTTTTGTCTCTTGGAAAAAAAGCACTTTTGGGACAAGCAGACTTAAGTCAAATCATTCTTGATTTCCACGGAGCTTTAATTCTGTGAACCCTTATTTGCACTGATAACTTCTGCTTTGGGCAATGAAACATCTGCAAGAAAACAAGTGAGCCCCAGTGACCTTTATTTAATTCCAAGCAGGGACTCTGAGCTTGGTAGTTTTCTTGCAGACATTTCATGACCCAACTAGGGGATATCATCAGTGCTAGAAAGGAGGAGGAGGAGGGGGAAACCTAGTGCTCTTGGTGCCCTCTGAGCTTAATGGTTTTCTTGCAGATGTTTCATAACCCAGCTAAGTAACATCATCAGTAGTAAGGGAGTGAAGAAGGAGAAGGGGGGAAAACTGTGGGGTCTTCATTGCTCTCAGAGTTTGCTTATTTCCTTACACTTATTTCCTGACGGAACTACAACATCCTGCAGTCACGCGATTGTATTTTATGACGGTTTTGCCAAAAACCTGGACTTGCTTTCCAGTTTTCAGCAAAAAAAAACCAAACCCGGCCCCTATCGAACCCGGGGTCCACATAACAATGTGGTCTAACGATGCCCCCAAAACAGGTCATTCACCTTGGGTCGTCTGTACGGGCGACTCGATTTAGAGTCCAAAGACTTACGGTCGTGATCCGTAAGCTCGTGTTACGGTTGTAACATGAGGACTAGTGTTGTGGTTCAGACGGCAGCGGAATCGGACAGTGGGGAAGAAGGGGGACCAGTCCGGGAGTATGGAGGGGACTCGGATGAGGGTCCTGCGTCCGATGCAGAGGTGGGGCCAGGACCATCTGAGAGTGAGGTGCTGACTCCAGAGCCTTTGGAGTCTGGCAGCAGCGAGGAAGAGGACAAGGGGAGCCTGTTCCACAGTGCACAGAGCTGCTAGAAGGCAAGAGCAGTTGAGACAAAAAAGAGGTGACTCGGGAGTAAGGCTGGGAGGTGATTGGCCCTCCCATAAGGGATAAAAGTCAGGCCAAGAGGATGAAATCTTTGCAGGAAGCAAAGTAGTTCGATCGGTTCAGAGTCATTCTTGAAGCTCTGGTTGGTACTTTGGTTGGTTTTTCTTAGTACTTTTGGTTGGTTTCTTTTCTAGTAAATTGGATACTTCCTGTTTTTGGCAGCAGTTCACAGACCTGAAAGGTGTGTGCTTATCTCAGGGAACTGTTTGAGATTCATTCCCGGCTGGGAATGAAAACAATTCCCAGCATTGCAATAAAATAAGTATTGTTTTAAAATGAAGTTGGTGAATAATGATGGTTTACAAAGGCCTGGGTCAGAACAACTCCTTCCTTAAAGAAGGGACAGAGAATCCATGCCATAACGAGGGTCTCCCCTTGCAGATTGACGAATGGGGCCCCTTCGATCTGGTGATCGGCGGAAGTCCCTGCAACGACCTCTCCATCGTAAATCCCGCCAGAAAAGGTTTGTATGGTAAGCGGAGGCATTTGAGATCCCTTTTTGAGTTGGCTTTGCTCGGAATTCGGGACCCTGAGCCTCTCTTCTGACCCCCTTCTTTCACCCTTTCCGGCTGGCAGAAGGGACCGGCCGCCTCTTCTTCGAGTTCTACCACCTCCTGAATTACACCCGTCCCAAAATCGGAGAAGATCGCCCGTTCTTTTGGCTCTTCGAAAACGTGGTTTCCATGCGAGTCAACGACAAGAGGGACATCTCCCGTTTTCTGGAGGTAACAACTGTAATTCTGAGACCAAGAAACGGGGCCTTTTTTTTTAGGGGCTGCCACAAACTCTCTTAGTTTATTGCAGCTGAGGGCGTCCAGCTGCAATAAACTAAGAGTTTATTTATCTGAGGCTGAAAGATCAGCCACTGGTGAGTGTAAACCAGGGTTGGCTGGGCAATTTTGGGAGCTGTGGTCCAGGCAGCTTAGGAATGGCCAAGATGGAGAAAGACCGCTTTAGGGCCATTGTTCCCAAGGTTTTCCGGCCAATCTTTGTGGATTTTGTGGGATCCTTGGTGTTTTTGGTTGCTTTCTGGCAGACATTTCATTACCTGACTAAGTGACATCATCAGTGCTAGAAGGGAGGAATAGAATAGAAATTAGAATAGAAATAACAATAGAAATAAGAATAGAAATAAGAATAGAATAGAAAAGAATTGAATTAACAATAATAAGAACAGAATAGAAATTAGAATAGAATTAGCAATAATAAGAATAGAATTGAATAGAAATTAGAATAGAATAGAAATAAGAATAGAATAGAATTAGCAATAATAAGAATAGAAATAAGAATACAATAGAAATAAGAATAGAATGGTAATTAGAATAGAAATGAGAATAGAATAGAATTAGCAATAATAAGAATAGAATAGAAATGAGAATAGGATAGAAATGAGAATAGAATAGAATTAACAATAATAAGAATAGAATAGAATAGAAATGAGAATAGAATAGAATAGAAATAAGAATAGAATAGAATTAGCAATAGAAATAAGAATAGAATAGAATTAGCAATAATAAGAATAGAATAGAAATGAGAATAGAATAGAAGTAAGAATAGAATAGTAATTAGAATAGAAATAAAAATAGAATAGAATTAACAATAGAAATAAGAATAGAATAGAATAGAATTGAATTAGCAATAATGAGAATAGAATAGAAATGAGAATAGAATAGAATTAACAATAATAAGAATAGAATAGAATAGAAATTAGAATAGAATAGAAGTTAGAATAGAATAGAATTAACAATAATAAGAATAGAATAGAATAGAAATGAGAATAGAATAGATTGAATGGAACATAGCAGAATAATAGAATAGAGCTGGAAGGGACCTTGGAGGTCATCCAGTCCAACCCCCCTGCTCAAGCAGGAGACTCGAGGCCATTTCAGACAAGCAGCTGTCCAACCTCTTCTTGAAAAGGCCTCCAGTGATGGAGCAGCCACAACTTCTGGACACAAACCATTCCTCTAAGTTAATTGTCCTCGCTGTTCGGCAGCTTCTCCTTAATTCCAGGTTGCTTCTCTCCTTGATTAGCTTCCCTCCGTTGCTTCTTATCTTCCCTTTTGGTGCTTTGGAGGATAGGTTGACCCCCCTTCTTCTTTGGGGCAGCCCCTCAAATCCTGGAAGGCTGCTATCACATCTCCCCCTCGCCCTTCTTTTCATTAAACTAGCCATACCCGACTCCTGCCACCATTTTTTCCCTACGTTTTAGTCTCCAGGCCTTCAGTCCTCTTAGTTGCTCTTCTCTGCACTTTTCCCAAAGTCTCAATCTCTTTAGTTTTGTAACGGGGTGACCAACACTGGGTGCAGAATTCCAGGGGTGCCCTTTGGCTCCATCAAACGGGACTAATATTTCACATGATCTTGATTCTAGGCCTCTCATTATACGACCCAGGATTGTATTGGCTTTTTTTGGCTGCCGCCGCACCCGGCTGGCTTGGGTTTCAGCCATCGTCCACTGGGACTCCAAGGTCCCTCTCCCAGTTCCTGTTTTTGAGCCAAGTTTTCGCTTAATCTGTACTTATACCTTTGGTTGTTTTTTTTCCTGCCCAGATATTAAACTTTGCTTTTCTTCAACTTAAATTGCATTTTGCAGAGAGGAGGAACTGTGTGAGGTCCTTGGTGCTCTCTGAGCTGGGTAGTTTTCTCGCAGACATTTTATGACCCAACTCTACTGTTTCCCTGAAAATATTGTCTTCTTTTATTTTTTGTTTGTCACCAAAAAAGACACCAGGTCTTATTTTGGGGGGGATGCCATCCACTGACTAACCTCACTTGTGCGCACATTGCCCCTGGCCTCCTTTTCGTTGTCCGAGGCCTTCAGGAACTTCTTATTCTGTGGCCGGCAAGGGTTTCATGAAGGCCTCTGCAGCCAGTAATAGAGCTCTGGATCGATCCAGAGCTTTCTAATCAGCTCCAGAGGCCTTCAGGAAAGCCTGGCCAGCCCTGCCAGCTGCAGAAGAAATGGGCCGGCAAGGCAGGTGTCGAGGTGTGTGAGGCTTGGCTACACCTGTCCAAAAGTAAGTAGTAGAGCAACTCCGCACACCCTTATCCCCACCCTAGCTTAATTTTTACCCATCCACTCTGGAGTGGGTGGGATCTTAATTAGGGCTTATTTTGGGTGTATGTATAAAAATCAAGCTAGGTAGGATTTACTTTCAGGGTAGGTCGTATTTTCGGAGAAACACAGGGTAGGTAGCATCATCAAGGTTAAACCCCTTTCTTTTCTGTGCAGTGTAATCCGGTGATGATTGATGCAGTCAAAGTATCTGCTGCACACAGAGCCAGATATTTTTGGGGTAACCTGCCCGGGATGAACAGGTAAGAAAAAAAGTGGAGCCTTTGATCTGCCAAAGAAGTGACAGGGAGAAGGAAGTTTGCTCATTTGCAACCCGGGTCACCCCGTAGCAGTTCGGAGAGGCTGGGGTGTCCGTTATACAGGCAGCCCTCGACTTAACAAGCACAATTGAGCCCCAAAGTTTTATGTGGCTGGGAGAAAGTTTTGTTAAGTGGGGTTTGCCCCCCCCCCCTCCATTTTATGACTTTCCTGGCCTCCGTTGTTAAAGGAATCCCTTGCAGTCTTTCAGTTTGGGACACGGTTGTTAAGCGAATCCGGCTTTCCCCCGTGACTTGGCTTGTGAGAGCGATGCAAAAGGGGGAATCAAGTCACACACACACACACACACACACACACACACACACACACACTGGGGACATTGCAACTGTCATCAATACGAGTCAGTTGCCAGGTGTCTGGCAATTTAGATCAGGCGACCCTGGGGATGCAAGCAGTGGTCGTAAGGGTGGAAAACGGTCCCTTTAGTGACTTTGAACGGTCACTAAACGAACGGCTGTAAGTCAAGGAGTACATGTACACTTGTGGTTTGGAGGGAGAGAGAGGGAGAGCAAGAGGGACCCTTTTAGGAAAGTAATGTGGGAAAAGGAGGCGGATTTGCACACTCGCAAAATGGCTCTTCAGCTGGACACGACCAAAGTAGAGGATGTTCACGATGTATTTTCTACTATTTCCCACAGGTAGGAGTGTGTGTGTGTGTGTGTCTTTGTCGTTTTTGTGCCAGTGAGAATGCTGCTTATTGAAATGTTAAGTGGAAATGGCTTTCCGTGGTTAGCCATCCACCCCTCAAAAAAAGCCTGTGAAGTTTTTCAGGAAACAGATGTGATATACTCTCCCTCTTTCTGTCTGCCTGTCTCTGTCCCTTTCCCCCCTCTCTTTTTCCCTCTGTCTCTCATCTTCTTTCTTTCTCCCCTTCTCTCTCCCTCTCTTCCTCCCCCCCATCTATTTCCCTGTCTCTCCCCCTCTGTCTCCCTCCCTCTCCCTCTCTGTCTATCCTTCTCTCTCCCCCCTTTCCCCCCTCTGTCTCTGTCTCTCACCCCCTCTGTCTCTTCCCACCTCTTTTTCCCTGTCTTCGTCTCTGTCTCCCCTTCTCTCTCCCCCTCTGTCCCTCTCTTCCCCCTTTCTTCCCCTCCCTCCCTACCCCTCCTCTCTCTGTGTGTTTTCTCATTACACACGTGTTTTTGACGTGTTTTCCTGTTGAGCGGAGCGTTCCCTACACCCTACAAAGTAAGAAGCGAGATGGGAAGTAGATTTCTTAGTGGGTTATACACACACACACACACACCCACACACACACACCATAGAAGAATGCCTGTGAGATGTTTTGGAATACAGATGTGATCTTAGCTTGTGTTTGTGTGTGTGTGTGTGTGTGTGTTTTGGCCTGAGGGGTCCTTGGTGCTTTCTGAATCTGGTGGTTTTCTTGTATAGACGTTTCATGACCCAGCTAGGTGATATGATCAGTGCTGAAAAGGAGGGGTTTGTGGGTGGAGAGGAGGAGGAGGAAGGGGAGGAGGAAGAAGGGGAGAAGGAGAAGTTGAGGAAGACAAGGAGGAGAAGCCTAGAGAGGACAAAGCACTGCCCAATCCTCTTCCTCCTCCTCCTCCAACCTTCCACCTTTCCATCGTTAATGACATTACCCAGTTGGGTCACGAAACGTCTGCAAGAAAACCCCCCAAGCTCAGAGACCACCGAGGACCTGCCCTTTCATTGCAACCCTGAACCACAAATGCTCTCCTCTTATTGGTCTCTTGTGATCTCCTTTCTCGGGGGGTGTTTCCTGCACCCTACAAACTAAACAGCATGACTTTGGGAAGATGTGGTGCCTGCGTGTGCGTGCGGATCGCAGAGTCTCATATAAATATTTTCTCTTTCCAGGCCTGTGGTGGCCTCCAAGGGAGACAAGCTGGAGCTGCAGGATTGCCTGGAGTACAGTCGGAGAGCGAAGGTAACCACCATTGACTACCCCCCAACCCACCCCCCAATTATTCTCGGCTGGGATAAAGGAGGCTGCATAATCGTTCCTGTTTCTGCCATGCCAACCTCATCCGGATGTCGCGATTGCTTGTTGACTTGCTGTTGGGGTCCCCGGTGGTTGCCCTAATTCCGTGATGGCGAACCTACGGCACACGTGCCACAGAGCCATTTGTGCCGTGTAAGCAAGCTGCAGGCAAACTTTAACAGCTGATTTTCAGCCGGTTTGAGGCCTTTTTCAGACTCCCAAAGTCTTGAGGGAAGGCTTCTGCGGGCTTCTACAAGCTTTGTAGGCTGAAAATTAGGCCTGTTTTGTCATTTTCGGTATTTTCAGAAAAAACAGGAAGTGATGAAACGGGGCTAGTTTTTGGCCTACAAGGCTTGCAGAAGCCTACAGAAGCCTTTCTCAAGGTTTTGGGAGGCCAAAAAAGGCCTCAAACTGGCCGAAAATTAGCTGTGAGGCGCAGTGCAGGTAATGGGGCGGCAGGAGTGGGTATGTGCGGGGGATTGCGTGCGCATGTGTAGGGACCGTGGGGGGGGCACGCATTGCCTTCTGTGTGCTGGCACGTGAGCATGCAAGGGCACACACAATTTTTGGCACAGGAGCCCAAAAAGGTTAGCCACCATTGCCCTAATTAAATCATGAGCCTCCAGCCAAGCTTCAAAGAGAGTCCAAAAGATTTATTAGGAGTCCAAAAGATTTATTAGGAGCAACATGTCGGCATGATCCCAGTTGAAGCCAACTCTGACACACGTAATTCACGGTCACCTGTAACACTGTTTCCCCTCTCCCCTCTGGATGTGTCATACATCAGATTCTCCAATTAAGCATGTTCAAGGACTGGGTGTTATCAATCACATTCTCCAATGAAGGATTTTCGGGGGCAGAAGATCTGGTTGCCTAGCTACAATCTTTGTAAGAAAAGCGGGGAATGTTTTTTTTTTCTCCCCCCCCCCCCCCCCCGCCCCTATGGCAACTCGGAAACAGGCATGCTTTACGAGTTGACATGTGGGGGGGGGTTGGCCCCTCCCTTCTTTGCAGTCCAGAATCCTCGGTCCCCCTGATAGCCAAAGGAGACAGGAGAGGCAATCCTAGACTTACAACAGTTTGTGTAGTGACTGCTCGAAGTTACAAGCAGGGGTGGGATTCTACCAGTTCACACCTATTCACTAGAACCGGTTGTTAACATTCTAAGCAGTTGGGAGAACCGGTTGTTAGAAGAAATTACAGGGCTAATCCTGTAAGGAAGGCAGGAAGGAAACATTCTGGTGTCGCTTGCAGAAACTGCCTCTCCGTTCACCCTTATTACATTCTTGGCAGGATTAGACTTCCTGTCTCTGGAACCTCTCTGGAGTTTTTTCCCCCCTCCTTTGCTGGTACTTTGCTTGTTTTGGAGGGACCATTCTGTTAAGTTTGGGGAATAAGGAGACCAGACATCTGACCAGTGACTTCAACTCTTTAATAATAACAGGAATCAGAATGGAACAGAGCAAAGCTATGGGCAGCAGTAACCCTTTTATAGGGTTGGCTGCTACCTTATTAACCAATGAACTTGCAACAGGTTCAAACTATTAACCAATAAGAAGTGTTCCCAAAGTGGCCAATCAGGGTCTAGTTCTGGCCCAATCCCAAGTTGTTGTACAAGGACCAATCAAGTCTGCAGGTTTTCAACCCCTGATTTGCATTTAGAATATCAACTTTTATTGATTCACAACACATTCAAAGTTACTATGGCACTGAAAAAAGTGACTTATGACCCTTTTTCACACTTACGACTGTTGCAGCATCCCCAGTCACAAGAGGCCAGGCGAGGAGTTGCGTGCCTCAATGTGAGTGATATTGAGTTGGCCACGCCCAGTCAGTCACATGACCACTAAGCCACGTCCACCCAGCCACATGACCAAGCCACGCCCACCACCAAAGCCACGCCCACAGAACCGGTTGTTAAAAAATTTGAATCCTACCCCTGGTTACAAGGACCCTGAAAAATCATTTTTCGTATTTAGGACTATTCCAGTTGGTTGCAAAAAAAAATCAGCAGCCCCCCCCCTCCACTCTCCATTAGGACTGCTATCTGCACGCCGACCTCTGTCCCCCTCCCCCCACAAAATGGCCGCCTTCACCTCTGCTTTTCTTCTTAAAGATGAAGAAAGTCCGCACCATCACGACGAAGTCCAACTCCATTCGGCAGGGGAAGAGCCAGATGCTGCCTGTGTCCATGAACGGGAAGGACGACGATTTATGGTGCACAGAGTTGGAAAGGTGAGGGATAGGCAGGGCAAGGGAACCCGTGACGGGGTGGGGGGTGGGGGAAGCAAGGGGTTGGAAAACACGTC